TAAAAAAAACATATATATAACGTTAAAAACCATATATAACTGCTCTTTTTATCCTGTCATTATCTTTGGATTTTAAAAAAGTGTTTTATGAGTTATAGGTTGTTAATTCATTAAAAATAAAACCCATAATGAGCAAGAGAGAAAAGACGGAACAGTTGCGACAACAGAAACAAAATGACAATCTGAATAAAATAAAAACATTTAGTTAGCTTTTTGCTGTGTACTGTTGTAAATGAAAATAGGCTATTATAAATGTCCAAAACCATGAAAACTACAACTTTGTATATTTTACTGTAACATTTTCCCCATTTATTCCTTTATCTGCTTTTTTGGATAAGAAATTACTTTCACTACTCAACTCATTGAAGCGGTTTCTCTCCTAAATTAATTAAAAAATATATTTAAACAGCTACTTGTGAGTGCATCCTAAAGTTGAAGACATTAATTTTAGACCGGTTGTCTTTGTTCAGGGAGACATATAAGTTAATTTTTTCCATCCATCCATTATCTTTACCCGCTTATTCCATTTTGGGTCATGGGGGTTGCCGGTGCCCATGTCCAGCAATCAGTTTAATTTTTATTATTTTTAATTGATCTAATTGCTCAAAAACTGTATGATTTATGTTTATAAGGTTCTACTAATCCTAAATAGATGGAAGAAATTAAAAATGCACACCAAGCAAAACCTTGGGACTCGAGGATAAAACTTGCTGGCCACAGGGGGGCCAATAGAGGGAGGCACCAATTTTTATGCCCTCTTTGGCCCCCCCTTTGGTTTCGCCCCTGATTAACTTTGCCTTCATTTTTACTGGTTAATTTTAGCTTAATCATTATAGAAGCGAATGTGTCTCAGTTTTCAAATTAAAATGGATTAATAGAAATGCTTTTCATTTTCAAAATAAAGCTGCATGTTTTAACTCATAAATAAAATTAAAAATAAATAATGCAAGCTGCGTTTGGCGGAACCACGGCTGAGCTTCAGCCCCTGGGGGTGAATACGGGGCGGGGCTTGTCCAGGGCGGGGCCTATTCGGGGCGGAGGCGGGGCTTACGCAGCTACGGTTGAGTGGAGAGAAAGTGGAAATTGAGAAAATACCTGGATGGACGATCTGGAATAAGTAAGTTATAGAGTTTCTTCCTGTTAAAAAACGCCATGAGAAGTGGGTGATGTTTGTGTGCGGAGTGAACAGACGAGGGGCGGGTTTGTGACGACGATGAGCTCCGGTTTCTCCTCCAAACAATGGTCGCGATGGTCGTCGCTTCCTTTCTTTCCTTCTCTTTTTTTTTTTTTTTTGGAAACCGCAGGGAAGTTTAAGACCCTTGTCGGGGGGCTTGTTGTTCGCACGGAGGCCACGTAGCTTCCCGGAGCGATTTTAACCCGCGAGAAGATCTTCGGGTCGAACATTTGTGACGAGGAGGTAAGAAACGAAGAAGATGTGCGCCCGCTGTGCCGCCTTCAGGCCGCAGGGTTTGAATTTTCCCTGCGTCCATTCATTTCCAGAGTCTGCAGTCAGAACGGAACCGAACCTGTGGCTCTTTTGGCTCCAGGACGCCACCACTGGAGGCCCTGAAGGGTCTCTATTGTCCTGCCTTTCTACACCACCCTCTTTTTTTCCATTCTGTTCATTCTAAAAGCTGCTCCTCACATGTAACTGGCCTCCTCCTTCCTCAGCAGTGCTGAATTATTGATGTCCATGTTGTGACCAAAGGAGGTCAAATGTGTCCCTTCTTTCTTCTTTCTGCTTTTTGGTGCTGAAACTCAAACTGACACAGGATGATGGTTCTGCAGCACCACCAGGCCCAGATCCCCTCAGCTTCAGTGAACCGTTCAGACCCCCCCTGGCTTCAGACTCAAACAGAAGTTTACTTTTTAAAAAAAAGAAAAATCTACAAGTGCCACTACAGAAAGAATAAACTGTTTGAGCAGCACAGAACAGGACACTAACACATAATATTATATTATTATAAGCTATTGCCCTGTAACTGATAGAGACCGTAAAGGAAACTACGTTAAATTATTAAAAATAAAAGTACAAACTGTTACGGGTATCCCAATTAGTCCAAGATAAAGTTACACAAATGAGTTGCTTAATTCAGCATATTACATCTAAATAACTAATGAAATCTGTATTTATAGATAACCTACATTATATTCCTTATTGATATTGTCGCTTTGATCATAAATAATGTTCTGATTTATTACTTTAAATTAAAGGGTCTGTTCACTTGAAGCTTTTAAATCAGCTAAATGCAACAAAAACTCTTTAAGAAGTGATGTTTAAATCCTGACTTTGTACCGAAGATTGTTTTAAAGAAGATGCATTAACGTGGCTTTAAATCATCTGATAGATAAATCTTAATAGTAAAAATAAATCTAGCTCCATTTCTAGATGACGTTAAACAAATATTAAATGTTTGTATGTTTTAAAGTTTAAAAAGCCTTCAGAATAAAATAATGGCTTTGGTCAAAAATCCGTATTGACGTGCAGATGGACTCCAGGTCACTTCGTACGCAGATGACAGTGTTTTGTATTCATATATTCGTCGTTGCGTTTTGGCTCTTTTGGCAGGTAAATATGTTGATAAATTATTATTTTTTTTAAAAGATGCGCTCATTTGTGCTTTTGTGACAAACGTGTGAACCGTCTGTCTGAGCTCAGGTTTCAGTCCCCCCAAAATTTGAAAATATATTTCTTTTCACGCAATAGGGATTTGCATAAGCTCTGCTCACTGAGACACTTCCTGTTTCCGAACTAATTGGGTTTAAAAACCCAAACATAGATAAGTTTGTTGGTTCAAACACGGTGTGAGGTTTGTGCACACACACCTGTTGGAGTCTGCCATCAGAGTGAGTTCGGGCTGACCGCAGCAGTTGTCTGGTGTGATGCTGCAGGCGAGCGGTAATCTGTGTTTGTGGCCCTGATCCTCTGACGAGCCTCTTCCCCTGGTGGGAGTCTGTGTGTGTGGACGCCTATTTTCACAGTTGGCTGCAGAGCTGGTCGTTTTCAGAGCTTGCTGCTCCTCCCTGACAGCTGCTGTCCTGCAGCCAACAGCTCTAAACGTTTGACGACAGCTCGATTTCTTTTGGCCTTTGGGGTGAAAACATGAAAAGTCCATCTGGTTAAAACGAAGGCCATAAAACCAGCCGCGTATTTTGCTAAAACGTTTAAAAAAGTGATTACGTTGTCGTTTTGATTAAGGTTTTTGCTACTCGAGTGCTTTTCACATTATCACATCTACAACAGAAACCACAAGTTAAAGGGGGTAAAAGGTGCTTTGGTAGTAAATGCAATTTTTTTTTACAAATTCTAAACTACTCAGAGTTTGAGTTTAATCACATAGAAGCAGCATGGTTCAAATTTATTTCAGTCACAAATAAGAAACTAACCAAACATATTAGACATAAAATAACTAATACGTGGGACATGTAATGTGTAAGGAATTCATATCACCCACTGCCTTTCATGCCAGACTTTTAGACTATAATATACAATATTCACTTTTGGTCAAACCTGTAAATTACTTTATGTGCAATAATACACGAAAAGGTGCTGTGGATGTTGTGTTGCTTAAGGTCAATTTATTGCGGTGTCCACAATCTTGAATTGGTTTGACTCTAAAAATTAAAAGAGTTGTAGATTTACATCCTAAGTTTGATTTATACAATAAAACAGGAGATAACGAAGGTTGTGTCTCTCTCCCCCCATAAAAACACTTAAAACATTTTAGACGCTCCAGCATGTGACGATAATTATGTGATTTAGGAAATACCACATTTAAAAT